TTTTCATCGTCTGAGTAATACAGGAAGTTGCTGGAAATCTGATTTTGTATAAAGTAAAGAAAGAAAGGAAAAATGAATGAAGTAAATATAATAATTGGGTTTAGAATTTAATAAACGTATACAGACTGTATTACTAATGGAAATTCAACAGAAAGATAAAAGACAAAAAGAGTGAAGGAATAAGTCTTGACTGAAGATTCTGAAAGTGTTTCAGGAAAGGTCTCCACACCTTTTAGAACTTGTTTGAGTTGCAAACGGAGTAGCGAATCCTTTCGAGGTCTAGACAGGACATAATGTCCCTTAGCGGCACAGTGTGGGTGGGCAGCCGGGGCAGCATCCTCCCTCCCGGCCAACAGAGAAGCAGAGGACAGCGTGCAGCATTTGATTGGATTCACACATACGTCATCCTCTCCAGTGGTGCCAAAAAGAGCTACCAGGGAGGGTTAGGTTCTAGGTAAAGATTGAGGATTAGGGATTATGTTTGGAAAATGTCTCTCCAGTATTTCTCCAGGCTGAAGAACATTTGGACAAGGGGAGCCTCACTTCTCCTACATTTATCACAGGAGAGGTTCATTGTGGGTAAATACGAGATAGTTTGGCTTTGGACGCATGCGGACACAGGAAATTGAATTGAATTAACAAGCTTGAATACTGAATCCAACACTTTGTTCAACATCTCCTCCCAGACAGTTTCACCTTTGTTGAGAGGTGCATGTCTTACACCTGCCAGTTTGTCATAGATTGTGGATGTTAAACCTTTGCGTGACAGTTGTAAACGAGGAAAGGAATCAGCGGTGTCTGTATCGGGCTCCACAGGGAAATTCAGTATCTGAGAGTGGAGAAAGTGTCTGGTTTGCTGAAAAATAGTTACTAGGTAGGTTAAACTTTTCAGAAAGTTGTTCGAATGATGCCAGACTGTTATTAATAGAAAGGTCCTTAAAGCTCTTAATACCCCTTCTGTGCCGTTCTAGGAAATGAAGGTTGGAAGAGATGGTTGGATAGAAAAGGACTTGAGAGAGAGAAATCACGGAAACCAAAATATTTTCTGAACTGAGCCCATACTGTGCGCCAGACAACTGTATTATAAATTAATTTATTTGGGGGGAGAGGGATCGTGGAAAATGATCTTGGAGGGTAAAGCAGAAAAAGAACCACTCGAATTTGGAAAGAGGCTGTTGTTAATTTCCTGTCACATTTGATTTAATATCTCTTTATCTTATCTCTCTCTGTCTCTGTGTGTGTGTGTGCTGCCAACTCCAAAGTTTCCTTGTCGTATTTGTGGAGGCACGTTCAGCACGTCTTCCAGCCTGAGACGTCACGAGCGCGTCATTCATGAGGGCAACAAGAGGGTCTTCCATTGCCAGTGAGTCACTTAAGCTTTCACCAAATACCTGATTCACATACAAACTGAGCCACAACTAGAGATGTATAATACTATTTTTCCCCTCCTGATTCTGATACCTGAACTTTGCATATAGGCAATCTAATAGAAGCCTTAAAAAAAATTGTGATATTTGACTATATAAATAAAATTTACTTGACCATTACATAGTTTGTCCACCAGAGAGCACTGACAAAATGCAAAGTATGTGTCTTGGTCACAATTCTTAAAAAATCTAAGCGATCTGTATCAAAATAGATAATAGTTAAAGAAAATATAGATTTTTTAGACTGTGGTCAGTTGATATTAATTAGGCCTAGAATTTCTATAATCTGGTGTAATGACAGTGCTGGATGAAGTGATCTAACCCTCTGTAATTATTTTCAGATATTGCACAGAAGGCAAACGCACCTTTGGTAGTCGGTTCTTACTGGACAAACATATTCGGCTGCATCACAGAACCACAGATGGACAGGTGAGTCAAGACCGTGTGTTGTCTCATTAACAGGCTCAGGTCTGAGTTGTATTCTAAAACCCCAACTCAATAGTAATTGTCTTTTGGGTACGTAGTGTTCAAACTGGGCAACTGACTAAATTAAGTTAACTTAACGAGTCTGTATGTATGCTAAAAAAAATGCTTTGTGTCTGCTGTTGATACACTGTTGCAATTCAATAAGGAACTGAAAAGATAAAGCTGGAAAAATAAGAATAAATTGCAGGTGATTGTGTGACACACAGAAAGATTTAGGAAAAGGGTTAATAAGCAATTCATCTTCTGAAAGACATTTTGTTTTCTCTTTGTGAAATTTCACCTACAGTGACATTAAAAAAATCAGTTTGAGCCTGTTATTATAAAACAGTAATCTGTTAAATTTGTTGTATTCTGCAGAAACCATATACCATGTCAGTTCAAATAGTATTGTATCTTGTATTTTTCTAATTTGTTTGTCTGTTTATTCTGTCTAATTTGTGTGTTGTTTGTTTGGTTTTGGTTGCACAGGCTATATAATTTTAAATTGTCTTCATTATTAATTACATGTAGTATGGAACTGGGACTCAGCAATAGTGTTCACAAAGATATAAAAGTTTAGTTTCTTTCCCTTTTCGTTTCCTCAGGGTCCCCCCATGACCAGGAAGCGTGCAGCCACAGGGGGAGAAGGACCAGGTAGCTCCTCAGAACAAGACGGCGAGGGCGGACCTCCTGGAGGCAGGACAGGAGACGAGGAAGAAAACGCCACAGAGGATGGCGAGGAGGGGGCAGGTCCGGCAAAGAGAACCAGGGCGTCCATTGCATCCACGTCGCTTGCGCCAAACGAACTGGAGGAGGAAGACAACATCTTCCGTTGCGTCCCCTGCGGCTTCTCCACCGAGGACGGCGCGGAGTTTCAGCGCCACATCCCCCAGCATCGGGCCGACACCGCCTCCTTCCAGTGCCTGCAGTGCGGCGTCTGCTTCGCGTCAGCCGGCTCTCTCAGCAGGCACCGCTTTATCACTCACCGCGTGCGGGACACACAGAGCGACGCAGACCGCGGCACCCCGCGCACTCACGGCTCTCCTGACGGCTCGCCCGCCGGCTCTCCTCAGGCGCTGGGTGAGGACGGAGACGGTAATCTGAGCTGTAAGGTGTGCGGCCGGCGTTTCGACAAGGCCTCGGACCTCAACACCCACTTCAGGACCCACGGCATGGCCTTCCTCACCGCACACAAGACAGACAAGCCCCAGTAGGCGGGGGGGGGTGAGTCCTCTAAGACTGACAGATCGTCTACATGAGGAGTCGTGACGGAGGCGAGAGGCTGTAGAATATGAATGTTGATCCTGAGATGAAACAGAGCTGCTTCCTGTGCAGTTTTTTTAGTCACCATAAACAGTTTTAATCTATCTATGGCACCTCTTCTGTGCAATTGTAATTGCATGTTTGATCATGTTACTGGTCACTTAACTAAACACACCTGTGATAGACTCTTGAGTAAAGAGTGGAAAGGCTCCTGAACAGCCCCCCCGAGTAAAGCATTTATATATTAGCCATACTGTCTAATACGTCTTGTCCTTCCATTTCACTCTCACTCTGCACTGACTGTAGCCACTTGCCTGTTTTGTCATCTAACACACTTAAATACATACACCTCCCACTGTACTCCTGACAGCTGTAGTGCCGATATTTTTGTACTTCGCATTGTTCACGGTATTCATGCTCATTTTCCCCCGGCATTAGGTCAGTTTTAACAGCTCCTGAGGCTGCCAAAACTGACCTCAAGCCAAGATCTCAAGACGTCTGAAGCATGAAGGAGAGTGTTTGGAGAATTTGACACTGATTTTTATGTTGCTATGATATTTATTTATACGAAACACATTACTGCTGTTGGTATGTGTGCGAGACGGTCGCGTCAGTTCTTACCAGACATGGTGCGATTGACCCGCGGCAGAGACACGAGGCGAGAATCTCTGAAAGCATTTCATTAGGAGACGAGGTTACTGGAGGGCTGTAACCTGTGTAGTGTGAATAATGTGTGATGTTGTTAATCGTTAAGCTAGAAGAAGAGGAGAGGTCAGGCTTCCTGCCAGTAGTATATGTGTACGAGTTTTTGCCATGTAAATACATATAGTTACACTAAAAGAAAGCGTTCTGGTTTTAGTAACTTGCTATGATAATGTGAATACGTATAGTATTTGTACTTGTACTGTTCCCTTTTTTTCCAAACCATTTCAAGTTTAAAAGAAAAAGAATTCCCCCCCAGAGGTAGCTATACATTGTAATTACAAAGCGGAGGGAGAGCGTGGGGGTTGTGTTGTCTTAATGTGTATGAATACAAATGTTTATCTCTTTGAGATGGTTCTTTTTTATCTACAGAATCAGTGCTTGCTGTGTTCACATTTCTTTTATATGTTTCAAAAACAGCCTCCATGGCCTATGAGTGGATTTTTTTTGTTTGTATCTTTTATATGTCATGATATCATATTTATATAGCTCAGTAGTGGAAACTTCATGTCATTTTCTTTTCCATGGTTGTGGTCTGCTTGCTGAAAATGCCATACACTTTTTGTGCTGTTTCGAAATAAATGTGTAAAAGAGACGGTTGATTGGTGCAGTGGGTTCATCTGCAGAGTTCAAGGTCACATTAGGAACTTTGTCTACAGCTTCTGTTTACAAATCGTCCTCTGTTCATATTGCACTCACCTTGAATTCATATAATTAACTAGATTATGTGAGGCTGTACGTAGGCACAGTGGTGGTGAAATGCTAACATCTTCGCAATCACAAACCTAAGTCATTTGAATTCATCCTGAGGGGATTCATTAAATAGTTGTTGAGACATTTCACTCAAAACCACAAATGTCAACCTTGTGGTGGCACCAAAGTCGCTAGGATTCATCCTTTAGGGACCATGCCATGCTGTCTTAATGAGCTATTTTACTGGATAAGGTGAAAACTTTGAACTGCTGGTGGCGCTAGAGGAAAAGTCAGGGGAGTCACCAAAGTCAGTACGATTCATGCTTTATAGACCATAAATATCATCCCTTAGTTGTTGATGTGTCATTTATGAAACAAGTTTTGTGCAATCAGAACCAATCTACTTATTCCAATAAATCAGTCTTAGACATTAAAACACAGACAGCTTCAGTGGGTATCACACATAAATAGCATTTACTGACTGTATAGATTCCTCTTCAAGTTCACCACTACATTTTACTACTGGGTTTTTCACAGTCTTGCTCCACCCCCTCCAGCTCCAGTCCCGTCTTGCCCTCAGTGGCCTCCTGACATGAGGTCTGGAGCTCCGGCGGACTGGCAGGATGGTGGACTTCAATCATCAGCTCGTAAATCAGTGTTCCCAACAGCGCCCCGACACAGGGAGCCACAATGGGCACCCACCACCAACCACCTCCAGCCCTGCAAAGACAGTGGGGTTACATACAATCAAGTGGAAATTACATCATTTAAAGATCCCCTCCAGATATGTATTGAGACATGTACAAATACACAAATAGTCTGCTTGAAACAATGATGTGTGTCTGATCATTTCCACTTTAAAATCCTTAAAAAGGCATCTCCTACTTCTATGAATATGCAAATTGTGTTCATTCTTTAAGTTTTCCTGTTGGATGTAAGATGTCTCCTACTTCACTGTAAAGTCCATTATCAGTGTATGTGCACTGGTGGCTTCAGGTTTCTACATCACACTTATATAAGTTGCATACTGGACCAAAGTAGACTTCCAAACTATTTGTGGTGTCATAAATCATGCTCATGGTGAGCACAGAGAAACTTGTGAAGGGGAAAAACATCCTTTTAGTGTCAAACTCTGCACATGTATCATTCTGCACAGTGAAGCTCAAACATCCAACTGTAGGAACAAGGAGAAAAAAAAAGATTTGGTGCTTGCAGGCTTTAAATACTGAAACCACTAACTTGAAAACATCGACTCCCCAGCCGCCAATGTACGTGAACAACCGAGGTCCTAAATCCCTGGCCGGGTTAAGTGCGTAGCCGCTGTTGGCGCCCATCGAGATGCCAATAACAAGCACAGCTGCTCCCACCAGTACAGGCTGAAGACCATCAGGGAGGGAGCTGTTCCTCTGGTCCCCAAGAGCCAGGACACACAGCAGCAGTGCAGCTGTGCCTATTACCTGGAAAACATGTGAATTGTTAAGTAAAACTTCACTGGACTGAAAAAAAGTTACATTTGCTGATTGAAAAAAAAAAAAAAAAAGCTGACCTGGTCCACGACACCTCCCCACACGCTGAGGTAGTCAGCTGGGTAGGTGGAGAATATGCCTGCTGTGGCAGTGGGGCCCGTCACCGTCAGCTCACCTCCGCTGTACGCCTGAATGGCATCTGCAACAACATTGCATCACACACACACACAAACAACATACGTACCATTACCAGATTGTATTCATTCTAAATGGATCAATCCTACACACACACACACACACACACACACACACACACACACAGTCTTACTGCCAGAGATACCAACTGAAGAACTGAAAATAGTCCTCAACAAATATACCATTTACTCTAATTTGAGTAACATTTGTTTAAAACTACAGTGCCCAGCTGTTTTCGGAAACCATTTAGCCCCTTCTTAGAGAATAAAACTATACTTGTGACCTGTTTCTCTTCAGTGGGAATGAATGAGCTTGGATCTGAATGCCACAGACTGGGTGGGGAAGTTCCAGAGTGGTTTTGATCTTTTTATGAGATTTGCTGTCAGTGCCATCCTTATCCATTAATATGAACTGCCCACTTGTACCTATAGTACATTTCTTGTACTTCTAGTGTACTATTTAACAGATAGTGTGATTCTGAGCATAGTGATCATAGTTGAAAACTCACCATAGTACTGCAGGCCAACGGTGGCTGCAGCCAGAAAGGCCCCAAACACTTGGAAGAAGATATAGAAAGGTAGCTTTATCCAGGGATGTCTGCCCAAAACGCACAAGCTCAGAGATACAGCTGGGTTCAGATGGGCACCTTATGGATGAAAATAATAAAGAGTGTAAGTCTGTAATTTAACATTTCATGGATTGACACATAAAGACATTTAGACATAGACACATAAACTACTGTCAAGAAGTTTTGACCTGCATGCGAATAAAGGTGATATTATTATATATGATACAGGCAAAGTTAAAAAGTCTGATCAATTAGTCAGCTTTTATTTAAAAAGGTGCACACAGTGGCGAACTCAGGCTGTGTGAGGGTCAGGGCGAAAAAAAAAAAAAAAACGTGATGCATTTATGATAACAGCTAGTCAGGATCAGGAATTCACCAAGTTTTGTCCACTGGAAGTCCACTGGAGGGTATCATGTTTTATCTACCAGGGGGCACCCGAAAGGGCACTTTTGCTGTGTTCTTTTCCAAACATGAGACCCTCACCTGAGACTCCACGAGACACAAACACCCCAAATGTTACTCCCAGAGCAAAACCCAGATTGATTGACAGGTACTGCCCCTTCTTATCTTGAGTTGTAGTCACTTGGGCAACGGAGCCGCATCCAAACAGCTGCAATTACATGAAACGAAGAGCTGTATTAGTAGAATATAACAACCTGGAAGCAAACATAAAGGGTACAGAGCAGTAAAACAAAAAATCTGAAAACAATCTGCATGAGTTTACAATGTGTTTTCAGTTAGAGTATTCCAGATGTGATGAAACTGACTGAAACACTGTTGCCTTGGAATGAAATCTTTTTTTATGAACGGCATTAAAAAAGAAACCTGCTTTATGGTTTGCGTTGTAAATGTTTATTGCTCTGACAGGTGAGATAAACAAACAACTCCGAATCACTGATGTGCAAAACTTACACTACCCTCCCTCTTTTATCCTCTCCCTTCATCTCACCCACCCTCACCCATCCTCCCCCTCACTCACTCACTCACTGGCACTCTCTGTTTTATTCTTTCTGTCTTTGTTTCGGGCCAAAGTCCTTTGGTTATCCATTGTGTGGATTCACCAGCTGCTCAAGAACAAGAGAGTATGTAATCGTTTTAGGAAACCGTGTTAAATACTTGCTGCTTGAGTTTACTGATCAAGCATGAATTTGGATGAACCGGTGGAGGAGAAAATCATTGTTTTCTGTAATTTACGTCTTATTCAATTAAATGCAAAAGCTGTGTCTAATCTGTTTAAGCATTTTAAATATTCAAGCACATTTAAAAAGGGAGCACTTTGTCAAATGGATGCATTAGAAAATGATCCACATGTGGTTAACCTCTATACCAAAGTGCCTCTTGCAACTAACTTTAGTTTAGATCCATAAAAGAAATACACTTACAATCAGAACGTAGACTCCAAGGCATTCAGCCAAGCACTCCCTGACCAGTTGGTTTCTGATCTGACATTTCCTCAGCAGCCTCTCCATCCCTGAGATTTCCTCTTCACCGTCCGGCCACAGGTGAGCTCTCAGAGCCGGGACATGAGGTGGGTCTGACCCGCACAGCACAGCACTGTCTGCCCTGCTGAGCAGAGTTTGCCCTTTCATACTGGAGCTGTAGGCTACGTCACACACTTTATGGCATGGCTGAGGTGGTGGTGTGTGTGCACGCAGGAGAGGAGAGTAGTTCACTTTGTAGGACATCCTGATACCTAAATCACAGCTGACATGATGAAAAACGCTGCACAGAACTGGGCTGACACTGACCGGCTCACTCAGTAGGTTTGCTGTGATTTCACCTGGTTGGAATTGGCTCTGATTGTTCCTCTCGTTTGATTGGTTGTTACATCTCTTCTTCTCTGAACGCAAACATGATCTGTGTGTCCAAGAAATCCAAACAAAATTATTTCTTCTTTCACAATCTGTATAAATGCACACGGCATAATAAAGCTGATAAGAGATGGAAATCTCTAAGGCAGTAATATGTGATAAGAGTCATTACTCCTCTAACAGTCATGAGAGACAGATAAGTGACAGAGCTTGTAGATTTTTTAAATCAATCTTTTAAAGTATTAGTGTAATACAAGACAGTCAGAGTGTAGTATAGTGTAATCACATCTTACACAAGATGTTTCATCTCTATTTTATGCTCCCAAAACCTCGGCAGCTGACAAACTCACTGGTTTCCTGTGGAGATAATATTTCCTTCTGAAAGGGAAAAAACAGAGGAGGAATGAAAAGGGAAGCTAGACAAGATCTGAGTTCAAAGGGTGTGAATATGCTATACATGCATCCTGCATGAATGGCAATGGTCTTTTTTTTTTTTTTACCTGGTCAAAGAAACATCTGGGAACACTTTTTAAGCTGTAAATCTACTGACAGCTGGACTTCAGGTATTCATGTCAAATAAAATGTCATATGGCATCAAGAAAAATGAATGCAACATTTGCATCTCATGTAACACTAAACCCCCATACGACTGCATACAAACAAGACAAGTTGCTTAAATGTTCTTTATGTAGTTTCTATTTGGGTTTTTTAAATTCATTTTTGTTTTCTGCAAAAGATTGTTGAGAAAATTATTGGCAAATTTGTTTTGTTCAGCCACTATCAGGACTCTGTTATCCATAATGAGATCTAAATACAGTGCGCAGATCAAAAAGCTATTGCTATTGACCTGTAAGGCCTTGGATCAGTGACAACATGACGATTTATAAAGTTATGATGGAGAAAATAAGTTTGGATCATCTTAGCCTAATAAAACCTGTAAAAATGGGCCCACACAGGAAACACAAACCCTGTACATTATTTAAACTGAAGGATACCAGAGTGAACAACACCCTGTGTAGTGGCTGTGAAAATGGTTTGCAACGAGAGTTCACTCTGTGTACAATGTACAGCTCATCTTTCAAAGACAAACTCCACCGTACCTTTATCTCCACTCCTCTCATGAAGGCAGATGTGTCAGAACATGATAAGTAACCAGAACAGAGACCTTTTGATATTTCCCACATGAAAGAGCGTGTTGAGTTTAAAACATGTTTTAGTTAAACATGAATTATCTTTCTTTCTGTATCAGACATTACTGCTGAAGCACTGAAACCACAAACCTGAATCGAGGTCACATCTATTAATACATATCATTACTGAGAAGGACTGAGAAAGTGGAGAAGAAGAAGAAGAGGGATGATGAAGGTGGAATAAGCCAAATAACATGGGGAGATGAGTAGATTGCAGTCA